GCCTGGGTATTTCTCGAGATCGTTGTATATTACGCTACAAAAGAGTTTCAGACAAAATCACATAGCTTTAAGATAGCTTCTTGAATAACTAGACAATGTAAGTTAGCATTATGCCTAATTATATTAACTTTGGAACAGGTATGAAGGTCAGATCAAGGTCAAAACTTAACAGTTGTATTAACGAAAGACGTCCTTTATAGAATACAAATTTGGACACTCATTTTGTATTTCTGCATCATAAGGACGTCAGAAGATTTCTTATTTCAGATATATCAAGGTCAGGGAAAGCCAATGAACTAAAATGAACTCCAAGAATGTTTTCCATTGGGACGTGCTGCCTAGAGTGCTACAAGGTGCTGATTTTCAATCAAAATGTTCAAATAATGCCGATTAATTTGGGTCATCTTTCTTTCTGAAGAGCAAATAATGTCACTGACCTTATATGGACATCAGTGACCTTTTGCGCACGAGAGATATCCGAAATAAAGCCGGTTGGGTGAGCAGGTTTGGGGGCACTTTGAACACCGTTCTGGAGTATGCCCTTTTTTGACCGTATTTGACCAGAAGATCACGACCTAAGGCCCTCACAATTAGGCAAAGATCCGTTCACATAGAGCGCTACCTATCGTGTTAGTTTTGCGTGTTTGGCTTGTTTACTATTGTGACCTTGAAAGGTCAAATTGACCCCCACCTCCACGTGAGTGCGTCACATTCAGCCGGATACCCTGGCGCGTGTTAATGGAATGCGTAAGGCACTTCCCCAAATTGAAAGCGTATGCTAATTTGCGCGGTCTTCTGAGTCAATACGACAACCATATCCAGATAGGCTGAAAAGGCACATGTGGCCAGCCGTGCGCTGCCTTGACGCGCGATGAACTATGTCTTAGACAGACACGGCGTCTCTACAATATGTTTCTCTTCGTCGACGCCTGGATGCACCCAGTGTAAATGAGAACAAGCCGCTAGTTGTTCTGAACAGATGTTTTCCGAACGCAGCAGATGTTTTCCAGCACTGACGTTCAAGCGCGCTACAATGTGTTATCAAATCTCATTAGCACTCATGCGTTGTCTATTCCTTGCTATGTTTGAATGCAACACTTGAATTAATCAAGATCTGTTTACGGCTAGCTGCCGATCCCGCTGACCGGTCGAAAAACCGAAGGCGATGACCATAACGGTGGCGCGAAGCTCAGTGAAAAGAGCCGTGAGTGCTAATTGCACAACGCACATTCATCGGTGCAGTACCGCACATTAAAAGAGATGAACGAGCTGGCCTTAGTGTCTTTCTTTCGGAAAAGTGCAAGCACACGATATTGACGTATCGCGCTTGATGGATTATGTGCATTCGCTGCCCCTCCAGTCTTTGCCTTCGCTCCGCCTTTGACCCACTGCTGTGCTATTGTGGCACGAATGGCATGGCCTTGGAATGAACGTATTGGAACACTTTGGTCTAAAGAACGATTAGAACAAAAAAGAGAAACGTCTCTGACCGGGCCGTGACTCCAGGCCAGTGGAGGTTACCAGGGCGACAGACATCGTGTTTGTGGTTGCGGCGTTACGTGGAGGAGCCCTGTCATTTCCCAGGCATGGGCGAGTGTTTCGCGGGTGTTTAACTATCCTCCTGGTAACCAAGAAGCGGGTCAGCTCGCACCAGTTGCATTGACTTGCACCAGTGACGCCGGTGTGTCTGAGCTGCCTTCGTCGAGCAGCCTTCGCGCAAAGGGAGAAACAAGGTGTCCTCAGTGGCGTGGAGCCAGCATCTGCCGGTGCTCTGTCTCTGAAGCGAGTCCCCACCCTGCAGGGGACCCGTAGACGGCCGGAGGGCGTCCTGCCGATGACAAGCAGCTGGGCTGGGGGGGGGGGGGACAGCTCACCACCGGCTGACTAAGACAGCGGCAGGCCGGAGGCCGGAGACGGCCGGAGGGCGTCCTGCCGATGACAAGCAGCTGGGCTGGGGGGGGGGGGGGGGGGACAGCTCACCACCGGCTGACTAAGACAGCGGCAGGGCTTAACGCACCACGAATGTCGGCTCCAGTCAGAAACGCGGGAAACTGCGCCCAGTAAGGTAAAAATGAAGCACTTTCATCTACAGGTTTCTGCAGGCGACTGTGTGTGCGTAGCTGGGTTCCGTGAGGACAATGCGAATCGGCGATGCGTGCGCTTGTTTCCCTGCCAGGTATTTGCTGACGACCTTTGGATAAATTGGGGCGCACGGGTTGGGTGATATGCACGATTGGACGTGCCAGCCTGCGGTCAACCTTTCGTGGACTATCACTTCGCGCCGGTGAATCATCACGGCATGGGAGCTTTAAGCTCCACTGAATTTTCATAAAGCTTGTGTTCATGTGCCGGTCCTATGCCAATGACAAGACCCAAATGAGCGCTCGCTGCGGTGACTTTGACGAGAAAATTGGGTTTGGGAACGTGCCCGACGGCCTGGTCATGGACAGCCAACCACACCGACGCCGCCTGGCGGCTAGAGCACCTGCAGGCCCGTACACGAATGAGACGCATCTCACAGGTCTGGCTTAAAATCACGCGTTGTTTGCGGCAGTGAGAGATCGGCTATGACACTGACCCAAACGTTGTGCAGATTCCGAATAATAACCCTGGATCGTGTTGCACGACAGGAATTGACATTAGTGTTCACGCTCCTGGCATCGTCCGTTTCTTGGATCGCTCCTAAGCTTCTTAAAATTCAGTAAGTGTCGCCTGGAGTTGCCGAGAAGCCCAGCAATTGATTCTGAGTGAGCTCAAATCCACTCTGAGATGCAAATCAACGGTATCTCAATGGTGTACATCCGGAATTGTTCTTTTTGAAGATTTTGAGTCGCATCCTTATTGAGTCCACGATGGCCACAATAGCAGATGGACACCAAATGTGCTCGTCAGATTGCTCACGAGCACAAGAAGTTGAGCCGTAGGTAAGTAGAACTGCTGGTGGGCGTTCTTATCCTTGGGACCAATTGCGATGAAGTTAAACCTTAAACTCATGAATATGCAGGTTTTACGAGCCTTATCCTGACAGATAGCAATAACCAGACATGTCAAAACATTATGTGAGCTGACAATTTCCCCTCTGAAACTTCGACTGGGCTTTCGCGTAAGTAAGTGGTCCAGATGCACCCGCTCGTGCATCTGATCCCGATGATCCCGCGATCTGATCCTGATCCGGCTGATCGGGCGACCCCACTGACCGGGCGACGTTCTGACGCCTTGCAGCTGGAAATAGCCTACGTGGGCGATCAAAAGCGAGTTCTGATTCTGGTCAAGTATCATCCCGCGGACTGATCGGAGTCCCTTCAAGAGGATATGGCGCTGCTTGAATTTGTAGTCGGATTATTTCTATGCGCTCTTGGCTTTGCTTTGGATTCGGAGTCGATTTTGGTGGAGCCGGATCCAGCACTGGTCCGTCGGGCGCACGCCCAGCTCAACTTCAGACCTTATCATGTCAACAAATCCTTGGGAATGCTTTTACTTCTACCGTTGTCCGTGCCCCACCCTGAGCGGATGGGAGTCGAGCTTATCGGGGTTAGAGCTTCCAAACTGCACCTATTTGTGCGTTTGTAAACAAGCAATTTCTGCGCTGTCCTCCAAACGGTTGGTTCGCGTCTGGAATGGGGCTGTTTTGCTTTCCGGGATGAATTTACATCCGCAGGCGGGTCAACAGGGCCCCGCCAATCAGAAATAAGCCGCGAGACGGTGACATTGGGAGGAGTCGGTGTCTTGAAGCTGGCAGCCAGGTGGCAGCTGCGCCGCGTTTCTGCATGGCGTTCGCAGACGCGCTCTGGTGGCCCCAGCAGGCGGGGGTAGTTCAGGTTGTGGGCACGCACCGTTCCAGACGCGGGTGGTAGCTCAAGAGCGTACTCTTCTGGTGACTGGTTGCTGCGAGCTCCCAATGCGCACGGCGCACGGTGGTATGGGCCATTGTGCAGTGTCCGTGTTTCGTCAGCCCAATGTACAGCTGCTTCAGACAAGCCAGGTCCGCGCAGCGCGAACACAAGTGCTGGAATTGCATGAGAATCGGAGGCCGGTCAGGAGCGCATGCGCGGCGGCGCGGACGTGGCGTGACAGCCCGCGGCAAATTTGGAACCGGTCGCCTCGTTGCACTGCTGCCCATCTGTTACAACATTGCCGAGTGGAGTCCTCGCTCAGCGGAGGGACACCTGTCGGCCGATCGAGCCCCGCCTCAGGCTGCCAGAGCGGCAGCTACAGGTGCTAGGAAAGCTGACGTTGTGCGGGTTTACGCGCATCGCAGCACATGTTGTCGATAAACATCCGTCAAGTTCTGTCCAGGACCCGCGTTTGTTGACGTTGTCCACGTTAGTTGGCTGTGAGACATGGAAGCGACAAGCAGTGGACTGTAGCGGCGACGCTCCACGTGGGTGCATTTCACGGCCGGAGCTATGCGCTATCGGAGGTTACTGCAACTGGATCTGCTGGGAAAAAAACGAACATCTGCAGGTCCAGCTACCGCATGCGTAAACTGTTATGCTTTCCATAAGTTGTCTAAACCCAACGAGCGATTTTCACCGCCGAGGTGTTTGGTTCACTGGGCTCCCGTCAGCTCCCATCATGATACACGACTTCCGCACCGGCTTCACGGCCCTCCCAGCACCCCCAGGAGACCCCAAGCGTCCGTGGGCGTCGCCACATCGTTCCCCGCCCGAGACCGGTCAGTGCCCTTGAATCTCGCGTGCGGACCACAAGTGTCACCAGGCACCCCTGCAACCTGCATGAATCATGCGCACGTGCGCATCTGCCGTTTAGCGAAATTACACGTCCCTGGATCAAGGCCAAGAATGATATACGACGATGTTAGGTTAATCTCCCTGATCAACGATAACTGCATTGGAGAAAAGTGGACGATTTGTCTTCCACTGACATCAGTGTTGGACATAAGTGCGATTTCCACCCTACTATCGATCTCATAAACGTCCGATTTCCGGATACCCACCTACGAGCAAAGATTCTAAACACAACTCCGCAAAAAACACGAGGCGAATACACAGAATTTATTTTTCATTTGCCTACAGTAGAAACACGCACGTTTCACGCACTCCCGACTATCTGGTCACAGATTAGTAAAACAGGGCCCGCGGTCGAGCGGTGCACAAAGACGGCCACGATGCGGAGCCACCGGGACGCCCCACGCGCCGCGTAACAAAAACAAACCTAGGAGAAACAAGAGGACCCCATAGCGCCGCCTGGTGTCGCCCGCAGGTAGTCACCACTGCCACGACGGCCGCCAGGCGTCGCACGAACGTCGCCGGCATGCTCGGGCAAATTTATCGTTGCCGTAGTTGGACGGCAAAACAATTGGGTACTAGATCAGCACGGCGGGTCGCGGTTCGTCTCACCCGTGGCGCAGACAAAACGAGCCCCGAGGCGAGTCGTCCCACAAGCCGCGTCGGGTGTCGACATCTCTCCGGCGTCGCCAGGCCGCGCCGACGGCCGCCGAACCGGCCGACCGGGCAGAGCACGCGCACGCCACACCGGACCAGCCGAACTGAACGCGGACGAAAACGCAACTCAATGATATGTCCGCGGAGGCGGCGCGGCTGAACACACGGCGGTGCTCCCGCCTGGCGGGGCGACGGTGGCGCCGCCTGCTCACTGCAGGCAGCAGCCGGCCTTGTGGCCGTTCTTCAGCTTCAGTCGGGAGCGTGGACGGTACTTCTCCAGAAACTGCAGCTGCTTCGCGTTGATGGCGCCGCGTCGCTTCCTGCAACAGGGTCAGGGTCGGTCAGCCACGAACGGCGCAGTTTGCTAGTGACGCCGCGCAGCGCACGAAGGGCCCGCACTGCCCGCGGCAAGGGCTGGACGGACGCTCCCCTGAACGTGACGTCACCGGAAAGCCCTAGCAGTGGGCAGCGTCGGCCAAGGACGGGCGCCGCGCGTCGGCCGGCCAGACGTAAATAAACGGCGGCGGCCCGGTCGCGGCACTGCGCAGCGAGAGAGCAGCCACCGGCCGCGAATAGCCGGGCCACGTGACTGCACGGGCGGGGCGCCAGCGGCGGGGGTGGGCACGGCCCTCCCGACCCCGACCCCGACCTCGGCTCTGACCCCGGCCGCCCACCGCTGGCAACAACAGCCAGTGGGGGCGGCGGCCGGACCGTCGGGGCGCCGAGCGGGGCAGCGGCCGACGGGCGAGCCGGCGACAGCGGTACGGTGGAGGACGTGACCGGCGAGTCCGGCCGCCGCCGCCGCCAGCCGGGCAGCGGCGGCGGCGACGGTGACGACGGACCGGCCAGGGTCGGGACGGCTGGACGGCCGGGGAGAAGGTGGCTGCACTGCAGGACAACAGGAATGCCGCTCCTGGCAGCCGGACTGCCGACCGCCAGGCTGTGCCAGACCGGGGTCGGCAGGCGCGCCAAGACACGCCGTCACACCGGCACAAGCACGTCCGTTCACAGTCAACTGGGGTACCGCCGGATTACAACACGCTACAACAGAGGACGACGAGACGCTCACAGCTGCTACGAGCACTCGATAGCTCATGGAATGTGACGGTGGGAAATAGCACAATGGATATCCGGCAGCAGAGGAGGTGACAGTCACACGTAACGCAATGATGTGTGAGTGACTCGGTAAGACAAAGCCTGCCATGTCCAACATTCCACGTCGGGCGACAGCGACCCCGCGAAGGCTGCCGACCTGATGCTTACACTGCGTTCGCGGTCGGACCAGCGCGCAAGCAAACAGCGCACGGGATCACCGGTTGCGCCAGTCACGACCACGGGGTCGCAAACATCCACAAACTGGGCGGGTATCTGGAGCCGAGCAGTCCACGACCGCCTGCGGCGGCGTGGGCCGCGACGCGCCTATTCGGGAGACCGCCGCGTACGCTGACGTCGCGCGCGAGATGGCCGCGAGACGTGCGATTCGTCCAGCTACTCGCAGCAGCGCCGAGAGGTCACGCAAGAAGCTGATCCATACCAGGGCGCAAAAAATGACACGAATGTCCCGCAGCGGCGGCGGCGACAGGAACCGGTCCGCGTCACGGCTCGCTGCCGCCAACTCGGCTCACTGCGGCCGACTCTCCGGCGCTGCGCGAGCGGCGCGACGACAGGCGGCCGACGCTCGCCGATCCACACGACGGCGCGACAGACCCGCACGCGTCGTGCGCGGCCTGGTCTCGGGTCCGGACGCTAGGCCTCGCTTCTCTGTCGGCTGACGAACAGCGCCAGCGTAGCATGGCTCTGTTCCACGCCAGATTCCCTGTCATGTGGGGGCCATGCGAATTGTCTGACCGCTGCCCTCGCGCGCCCATAGTCAGCCCCAGCATCACCAGAAGAGCCTCGCTGATTAGCCAGCCAGACGGCAGCTCCCTCATCCAAGACGGCTCCTCATCATCAGGAAGCCTCATGCTCATCCTCACGGAGCCTCATGCCCATCCTCAGGAAGCGTCCAACCTCATCCTCAGGGAGCTCCAACCTCATAACTCAGGGCGCCCAATCATCATCCTCAGGGAGCCTCATGCTCATCCTCGGGGAGCCTTATCCTTACCATCAGGAAGCCCCATCCTCATCATCACAGAGCCCCATCCTCATCCTCATGGAGCCTGAAGCACCACTCGCACAGCCGCCGCCCTACGGCCAGACCCAGCACGGTCGGCGGGCGCACTGACCCCCACCCGGGACAAGGCCACGGCGCAGAGCACCGATGTCGCTGATCCTCGATAACCACGGCGTGCGGCCGGCCGGGTCATCTCGTGCCACGCGAGCTAACGCGCCCCGCCAACAACACAGTCAATCACAGGGCCGCCCGCCAGCAGAAAACACGGCTCCATCCACGAACTCATCAGGGCGTGCCGCTGCGCCCGCGGCGCTCCCGGGCCGGACAAAAACGAACGATTGCGGCCGCTTGCGTTCGATGCCGGCCCGCGATCGCCTTCGATCCGTCGTCATGGTGACCAGATGATGCCGACCCGCAGGTGGTGCCCAAGCACGCGCTCCAGACGCACCCGCTGGACCGGACAGCGCGCGTCGCCCCAGGACGACTATTGCATATTGACAAAGTTCCGGGCGTTGAAGCGCGTAATAAGAAATCGCGGTTATTCACTATCGATCTTTCCGATAAAGTGTCGTATATGGGTGGATTGGTGGGAAGACGTCTGCCTGAACCGCCCAGTAGAGGGGACACCTTAAGACGTTTGCCGGTCACAAAGACACGATATCGAGCTGCCGTTTCAGATAGCATGCACCATGGCCACAATTTTCCTTGAGCTTGCACGAGGACACATCGTGATGTTCCCGCCCAAGCAGACATCGACGATGCGCGATGGTCACAGGATTTTGACGAAGCAATGCTGCAAGCGTGACAAGGAAAGCACTACCACCCAACAGGGCGCAAGGAATGCCAAAAAATTACAGCTCTTGCGTCATCATTTTCGGAAAACATCGCTGTGCAAATATGATACAGCCGGAACACATTCTTTCGGACTGCACAACAGATTGCCTCTTTCACGTACGGCCGCACCTGGTCGACCTTGGGAGCGTCCCAAAACTAGATCAGAGACCGGACACCGGTGGTGCACACCACCCACGCAACAAATGACACCAGGGACCCTTATAACGTCACGGTACACCGCCACATCTGACAGGCGGGCCAGACCGGCTTCGGCGGGCCAGGCGGGGAGGAGCGCCCGAGCCAGAGCCGCGCCGTGAGCAGCTCCCGGCCGCCGCGGACACCGCCGCGACGCGCGCCCGGTCCCGGCCGAGGGTGCGGGCGCCCGCCTTGCCGGCCCGTCACCCGCGACGCGCGGCGACGGTCCGGCCCCGCTCCCGACCGCCAGCGCTGACGGCGGCGAGGAAGCGGCGGCAGCGGCGAGGAAGCGGCGGCAGCGGCGACGCTCAAGGTACGACCGACCGGCCGGCCGCCGGCGACGCTCAAGACATGACCGACCGGCCGGCCGCCGGCGACGCTCAAGGTATGACCGACCGGCCGGCCGCCGGCGACGCTCACGGCACCGGCCGCTGTTTACGGCCGGGCAGGCTGCGACGCGGCGCACGGGCCGACTGGCGCGTCGGCGGGCGCCGGCCGGACCGCCGCGTCACGCTCACCATATCATCTATCAGTCGGCCAGACAGAGCCCCCAGACAGCAGGCGGCTGCAGCCCAGATACGGCCGGCGAGACGGCCGCCTCTGCAAACGTGCACGGACACGAGGATCGCGCGGGCGAGCGGCCAGCCAACCCTTGCACCGCATGCTAACGGACTGATAGGCGATTACTAGGGGGGTGTATTCGCAGAATGTATCCTGTCGACGTCACTCATGGCGTCATACCCCATAGATTCTGCGCAGTTCGACGTTCGCAGCGACCAAGACGACAAGGATTCTAAGCGATGTTACGTGAGTCCCTGCCGAACGCGCAGAATCTTTTACCGCGACTGGATCGATGGGACACAAAAAGCAACGGATTAACTTGTAGGTACGTCGATTTGCGCGCCCAGAAAGACCTCGAGTGATGAAAAGGTATTATGTGCGTTACAAAGAGCAGTTTCTGCAGTTTTCATTCTTAGGAGCACTCAAAGTACCTCCAAACGAAAACTTTGTGTCTTTACATGCGCAGTTATTGTCACGACAGCTACAGCTACAGATACAAAAAAAAACGAGTCGTGCTGTGAACAGGGCCGGCAAGGATTCAACGTGACGTCACGAAGAAAAGAGCATTCGTGGTGCGCTGCGAATACACCCCAGGATGTCTGTCTTAGTCGCCCGGCCGAGCAGTGCGGTGCGGTGCGATGACTGATGAGGTGCAATGTGCCGTGCCGTGCCGTGCCGTGTGGTGCGGTGCGGGGGTGGGGAGCATACGTACTGCCTGATGAGCTCCACGGCGTCCTCGTACTTGAGGCCGAGCTCCATGAGGGCGAGGGCGACGAGCACAGGCGCACGGCCCAGGCCAGCCACGCAGTGTACGGCCACGCAGGCGGTGGCGTCCGCGCGGAACCGCTTCCGCAGCAGCTCCAGCCACTCCTCCACCACCTGGAACAGGGGCACAAGGCTGAGGCGGCGGCTCCAGCCACTCCTCCACCACCTGGAACAGGAGCACACGGCTGAGGCGGCGGCTCCAGCCACTCCTCCACTACCTGGAACAGGGGCACACGGCTAACGTGGCGGCTCCAGCCACTCCTCCACCACCTGGAACAGGGGCACACGGCTAAGGCGGCGGCTCCAGCCACTCCTCCACCACCTGGAACAGGGGCACACGGCTAAGGCGGCGGCTCCAGCCACTCCTCTACCACCTGGAACAGGGGCACAAGGCTGAGGCGGCGCCTCCAGCCACTCCTCCACCACCTGGAACAGGAGCACACGGCTAAGGCGGCGGCTCCAGCCACTGCTCCACCACCTGAAACAGGAGCACACGGCTAAGGCAGCGGCTCCAGCCACTCCACCGTCCGTAATAAACGTACACACAGTAGTTTTTACCACACGGCTGGTAGTAAAAACTGATGACTGGCGGTTTGCACATCTTCATTGCCCCCTAATCTACATGGCATCAGGACGTGAAAAAGCACTCCAATGGACAACCAGCACAAACAATTTACGAGCAAGATTACACGAACATATGATGTTAAGACCGAAGTAATCTTAATCCAACGGTAAGTTCAAATTACAGCCTTGCTGACAAGCAAACAGCCATAAGTGAGTGCACATAAATCCCTTATTGTCGATGAATTCCGAGCAAAAGAGCAACGGGAAATGCTGTCTAACGCGACACGCGGTGAGAAAACACAGGCAGGCAGCGCGCTCACCCTCACCGACTGCATCGGTGCACCTCCAACCTTGGAGAGCTTTGTCAGGCTCAAGGTTGATTCGTTTCCCAGTCACACAGAATATATTGGCAAAAACGTCAGCGTGACACGGTCATTGCCGCCCTACCACCACGACAGGGGCGAGACACTAGCTAGGCCATCTCGCCTGCAGCTTGATTTCACCTCCGCTGCAAGGTCGCCTAGGGAACATTGATTCGGTGCGTTAAAGAGCCACCTGCGCGGTTGGCGTTCTGTGAAGTCCGGATACGACCCGGCTACGACCGGGCCGACCGGCGGCGGCGCAGAGTGGGCCGCCGGGCGGCGGTGCCGCGTCAGCGCCGTCCCACACCGCCCGGGCAGTGGACAACTGTAGGGAGAACTGGTATGCCGGCAATACTCGTCGTGTGTGGTCCAGTGGACTCGGCTCATTGCTGCTTAGAATAGCCCTTACACCAGGCACCTGAACAAGAAACATGTTTGAACCCCGCTGGTTTAACGCTGGGCGAAGCCGATGCGTATCGCGCTGAGTTCGGTAACGGCCAGCCTCCGACGCAGGCGGCGCTCGTCCGCGCTGTCCTTGGAGGCGATTCCTACGGCCGGCCTCACTGCGCCGCGCTGAAACAGAGCGCCGCCGGCCGGGAACAATCAGCCGCCGGCTCGGCTGAGGAGGCGCGCCGCTCGTCCGGCCGCTGTTGGTGTTGGCAGACGGGTCAGGGTCGCGCGCCAGGCAGCTCGTGCGAGCCGCCGGGCCGCCTCATCGTCGCAGAGGTGACACCGGTATCGACGATCGACCGCCGCCACGCCACGGCACGACGCCGCGCGACTCGGCGCCGGGCATTGGACCGTCGGGCTATCTATAGACAGATGCCGCGACCAGGGTCGTTAGCGCCGCCGCATCCAGGCGGAAATAGACGGCGCCCGCCTCCTCCGCTTGCGCCGCCGCCTGTCGGAGCGCCTGACCCGGTTCGGCGTATTCGGCTCGATGTCGCGCGTCATCGAGCGCCTCCCCCGCGCCGCCACCCACCGGCGACCGGTGCCACCATATGGCCTCGACCCACTCACCGGCAAACGGTGCGATCGATCGGACCGGGCCGGGCCGCCTCCCACCGCGGCGCCGGCCGGCCCCGTCCGCACTCCCGCCCCGGTCCGCATCCGCGCCCCGCCCGCCCGGCCGCCCGCCGCACGGAGACGGATCGCCCCCGACCTAAGAGCCTCATCCCTCGGGACGCGCAACTCGCCATCAGTGCTAGCGCGTGCGGAGAGAGGCATCGGCCGGCGGCGGCCGCAGGGGCTGCGACGCGGCACGGCTCGTCTGATGGCTGTGCGCGGACCGGCGTCCGCTCCGCTGTCACCCGGACCTCGCAACTGCGCCACGGGAGCGGAGCGCGCTAGAGGAGCTGTGGCGAAGAGCGCGCGCCGTCCGGTGTAATCGGCGGGGCGTGTGGGACGAGGGTAACTGCCCGATAGAACCCAGTGGCTACTCAAGGCGAGGCAGGATATGATAACTGGTCGCACCATGGTGCGCCGCGGTGAAGCAAACAGCAATGACTCAAAGTATACAGATGCACAAAGTACAACTGAGATGCTCCCAAAAGACCACGACAACGCCACTCGTGTTTAAAGCGCTTCTAAACGTGCCTGAAGAGCTAGTTTTACTGCCTCGACAGCACGCCGTAATTCCCACAACCGATCGCTCTGGACACGCTCTCAGCACACTAAAACACAGCACGCGGTTGCATGCACCCTCCCTGTCGTTCCGTCAGGTCCCTGGGCGTCCGACCTCCCTATCCCCCGTCCCCCTCCGTGATCCCCGGTCTCAGCGTCCCACGTTCCCACCGACGCGCGGAGCCTGGGTCTCCTCCGACCCGTTTCTCTCGTGACCCGCTGCCCTTGTTCTCGCCTTGGCGCCGACCCCAACCTTTCTGCGTCGTTCGTCGGACGGGGCGGGCGCGCCGCCGCCTCCGCCGGCGCCGCTAGAAACGGACCAGCTTCGGCCGACTGCGGCCGGCCGAGAGCGGCTCCCAGCACGGACCACACCCCGCCGCCGCCGGATGCGGAGCGCCGGCCGGCGAAAGCCGGACAGCGGCCGCGACGGGACCGGACGGCCGCGTGTCGGCGCGCGCGCCGCCTCCAGCCGGATTAGTGATCAGGGAGCGGCGGCAGGCTGTGACGCCACAGGTTCGAGTGGGCCGCGAGCTCGGGGAAAGTGAGATCGACAGCGTCTCGGCTCGCTTGCGGTCAGCGCAGTCTGACGACTCTCGCGGTGGTTCCCCCATTTACCGTAAAACGTGACACCAATTGAACTCCTTGGGCGCCGTCACTTGAGTGGCATGCACCATAGAACCATCGACAGACAGGTTACCGCCCCACAAGGAGGGGGAATAAAGCATTCCACGTCGGCTCGTTTCAAATTGATGGCTGACAGCAGGTGTTTCATTTGGAAAACGTCGGCTGAAACAATTATGAAGATAGCCTGACGTGGGAACCAGTGTGCTAAAATATGACCCCGGCAAGTTCGTGCTAGCCGAGAATTAATCGGACATTACAGCTTCGTTTACATAATTATCGCTGTCGCGACAAGCGACAACCCACGGGTCTGTTTGTTAGGCAGAGCGAATGTTGAAGTACAGTGCAAGCCACACTGGGACCGATCACCGGTCAGGCAGAGCACCGGTGTGTAGTCCCAAGACTTCCTGCAAGAGACGACACGGCCAGCTGCTGCGTGCCGCGCGTGTCGACCCGCGCGGCCGGGGTCGCCGCCGGTGTCGGCTGACCTGCACCGCCGCCCGGCCGGGCGCCCTTGCACCCCTGCGTGGGCGGGCGGCCGCCCCGCAGCTGAGCACACAGCTGGCCGCGCCACCCACACCTGCTGCTGGAGGCCGCGTCGGCGGCGCCGGCCCCCGCCTCCGCCGGGTCCGAGAGCCCGTCGGCGCGGTCGCGAGTCGCGCGTCGTCGGAGCGTCGCTCGTGTTCGGGTGACGCCAGCCCGTCTGCGGCGGCCAGCGGTCACACCCACCGCTCCGCGATCCGCCCAGAGGCTCTCCGGCCAGCAGCGGCGCACAAGGCTCCCCGGCTAGCAACGGCGCACAAGGCTCCGGCTAGCAGCGGCGCACAAGGCCCTCCGGCCAGCAGCGGCGCACATGTCGCGCGACAGGGCCCGGTCAGAGCCATCCGTGCAGTCACGCCGCGTGGGCCAGGCCGTACCCCTGGTCCTCCCCGTCCGTCCCGACATCTGGTGACGGGGGCGGATCGAATCGGGGGCTCAAGCTGACCTGCATCGACGTTTCGCCGACATATGTGCCATGCAAAACGTTGAGAACTTGTCACACGCGACAATACTGGGCGACAGGGGCCCATTGTCGTGTCACAATCGGAGAGGTCAGCCCGGGCGGTGGTTGGCCGGCGACGGCGGTCCTCTGCGGTCAGACCAAAGAGGCGGAGCGCGAACGACAGGCGGACAGCAGACAGGCCGATCAAGACACCGACCGATAGTCACCCAGGCAGCCCTGCGGGCATGGAGGACAGCAGACAGGCCGATCAAGACCGACCGATAGTCAGCCAGACAGCCCCGCGGGCATGGGAGATAGCAGCCGCATGTAGCACTTCCGAGAACAAAATACCGCCAAGTGCGCACGTATCGCGTCGACAATGCAGCGCAGTCTCTCCCGGGAATCAAGTGGAGTTATAAAGGCGTTATGAGCAACACAAGAAGGCCGGGATATTTATGGCGGTGACACCAAGTACGCCTTGCGCTGTCAGTGTCATGGAATAATGCGCTGATGACGCCTGAGTAAGTCCTGATGCATCGTTATTTGTCACGTAGTTCGCGTTCGGCGAAATAAAACGCAGCAGGCCGAGCGATGCGGAGGCAACATTACAGCGAAAGAATGAACAAGCAGGAGTGACGCGAGCCCATTACGTCTCCCGGTCAAGCAAAAAATATTGTCCAACCTAGCTGTTGCGTGTCAGGACCGCCGCCCGCCAACGTCGCTCTGTGAGAGAGTTGCACCGCCCCGGAGCGAAACACAGCGGCGCCCGGTGCGGGCGGCCGGCGCCAGGCGTCACGCGGCTGACGGAGGCCCACGAGGGCGCAGCCTCACGAGCGCGCCGCCAGCACATCGGCAGCCGCCAGACTCGGACAAGCCAAACGACAGTGCCCGGCCGCGCGGCGCGGCTTTTCCTGGCGCGCGCCCCGGGCGGCCGGCCGGCTCCCAAACAGGTGGCCGCCGCGCAGCACGAGCAGGCGGGGGTGCGCCTGACCGCCGGTTGTGAGGGGGCCGGCGGTGGGCAGCGGGTTCCCGCTGGACGCCCCGCGACCGGACACAGAGTCATGGCCTCGTCCGCTGACCGAGCGTGGCTGTCTCGCCGCAGTCGCCCGTCTGGCGTGTGTTCCGCGGGCAGCCGAGGCCGGCCGGCCGGACCGGCGCAGGGCGGGACGGCCCTGGGGTCGGCTCCAAGGTCGCAGGTGCGGTGCGCCGCTCGCGCTCCGTCGGCCCGATTGGCAGCGGCGCGCGCCGGCCTTGGCGCGCGGCACAGTCAGAGTCGCGAGATCGTATAATTAACCGTGGGCAGCTGTCGGCGCGTGCCAGGCACCCGACCCGAACTGCGCGACACGTGCACGACTCATCGACGGCCGGCCAGCGACTCCGGCGAGCCCGACGACCCGACCTCGCCCCGTCGAGCGGCCGGACGCGACCGATGCGGCCCGGTCGCGCCCGGCCGCTCCGTGCTGTGCGGCGGCGGTCCGCCGCTCTCCCGGCGCACCCCGACGGGCCCGCGCCCGCTACGACGCTCCGCCGCGTCAACAACATAAGCATATGCCGCCGGCGGTGGCGGCCGACACCGCACTCTCGCCGGGAGAAAAACAGCGCCCGCCGCCACGGCCGTGCGCGGGAACGCCCGCTCTGGCCGCGGCTCGCCTCCGCCGCCAGAGCTCCAGCCCCAACGCTCACAATGCAGCCGGCGCTCGCCACGGTGCCAATCCGAACGCGTAATAAGATCGCTCCCGAGCGTGTCATCAACATGCCCCCGCCTTGAAAACAACGCGTAATTGACAGCGCTGACCCAAACAAATCCACACCGAGCTCCCGGCTGACGCGCTGCGCGGGCGGCCGTGAGCACGCGTGGCCGCGACACGGCGAGACGGCGGGAGCTGCTGAGAGTCTGGGACAGTCCGGTCAGGGGCCGCCAGGATGGCGCCGCAGGGCCCAGCCGGGCGGCGCTGGACGGCGACGTGTGGTGGCTATTTACCGGCGCCGGCGGGAAGGTGCCGTCGTCGAACACGAGGTCGGTGACGGGGATGCCCTCCTGCTCCAGCAGATCCGTCTTGTACGTGGGCTCGCAGACGCGGACCACGGCCATTGCGTTGTGCCGCTTCAGCTCCTGAAACACAGGGCAGGGTCAGAGGTCAGACGCAGGTCAGGGGTCAGGGGTCAGGCCCGCACAAGTGGTCAGGTCCAGGTCAGAGGTCAGGCCCACGTTTGTGGTCACGCTCAGATCAGAGGTCATGCCCAGGGGAGAGCTCTGACCACGGCCGGGTCAGAATCTGATCCAGCTCAAGGGTGCGCCGCCAGAGGACAAGCAGGGGGGACAGGATGAGGACCACGTTAAGGGCCAGGCCACGGGTCAAACCCACGCCGCACGTGGGGCGCGCTAAGAGATCACACCAAAGGTGCCACGTTCGCAATCGGGTCAGAGGCCAAGTCCAGGTCGGGGTCAGGCCACTGACGGAGCCGGCGACGTTGAAGAATGTCAACAGGTCGCGGTCGTGTCACCGCCCATGCGACTTGGCAGGACCGGTAGACACCTGGCGACGTGTCCGGCGGTGGACGAGCCAGGAACGCGCCAAGGCGACGTTCGGGCCCGCACAGATCAAGGACACGTCACACAGGCCACGCCCGACACGTGAATACGCCGACCACGATGCGAGTTTTGGTTCTGACGGTACTCCGAACCAATGTGCAGCGCTCGGTTGTTTCACCACCTTGCTGGACGCGACAAGATAAGTGATCCGCACTGATAAGACACGCGCCTTAAAACGCGATGCGCGGCATGCGACGTAATCTTATCGTCATCGAATGTAATCCTGTCATCAAATGAGACAGGAAATATGGGAGGGGAAAACGTCAGCACGAATTATCGTGAGACATCACCGTCAGGAAAATGGACTACCCGGGAAAGTAAGCAGGGGAATCCCGATTGACCAGCATAAGCTGACACCTGTTGCTAAGAATTTCATCATCAATTCTGTGAGCGTTTAGTGAGAATCGTACAGTTTGCAAACAAGTGACTCATGCAGTGTCCGAGCACAACGCTGGAGTCGCCGTACCCCTCGCTGTGGCCTCCCGCTAGCCTGCCTTCTGGGCCGGCCGGCTGTGTAGGCAGTCCTTAGTGGGCTCCGTGCAGCTGCCTCTGCGCAGCTAACAAGCAGTTCAGTAGCGTAGTGTTTCCCATCCACAGCCACGGTGTAAATACTGCACACGAAGCCATTGCTCGTGTCTACCGTCCCGTGTCCGTGTCCGTGTCCGTGTCCGTGTCCGCGTGTCCGTGTCCGTGTCCGTCTTCCGTGTCCGTGTCCGTGTCCGTGTCCGTGTCCGTGTCCATCTTCCGTGACCAGTGTCCCGCGTCGCGCGTCACCGTCCCGTGTCCCGTGTCCCGTGCCCACCTGTCCCGTTCCGTCCCATGACCATTGGACTCTGGCCAGTGGTAGCTGGGATGACGGGCGGGGCCATGATCGGCAGCTATTTGGCTCGAAGCCTCGCCAGTTAGTCTTAGTTTATTAGTCCCCCTATGTCTTTTTGGACACCAATTACGGTCTCAGGGACACTTACGGTCTCAGGGACACTTACGGTCTCAGGGACACTTGTCTATGAAAATTCCCAGGTTACTTAAACTGGATCTTGTTCGTGGGATATAAACAATTTTTACCGGAGGACACGGACACGATAAGCCACAACGCTAGCGTTCCACGGCACATCACAATGTCTACGGGGAGAAAACCATTAGTTCACTAACGTAATGGGTCTCATATCACCCAGGAACGCGAACCGTTTCTACGCTGCTGTCGACTCAGAAATTGTACCTTCAACCAAGACGAGAGCGAATGTGGGATCTGACCTGCGAGCACTTTTAGCGCGTACCTGACGAAGGGCAAACCCAACTGACGCGCTACCAGAGTAGCAGGTGCAACGCGTTTCGCGCTGCGAGGCCGTAAATGGGGCACATAGGGGCGGTCGGCAGGTAAGGGGTCAAACGGCTCCCCTAGCCCTATCCAACCGAATGAAGGACTGGACTGTGCCGCCAGAACATGGTGGTCGCGTGTGAGGGAAGCTGATAACGTCTTCCGCAAGTCTGTCGTTACAGACCATACCACATACTCCAGTCGAGGATTATGGTACCACAAAAGCGCCGACAGTACTCCCACCTCCCCGTCCCGCTCTCCCTAGTCAGGCGATGTCAAGCATTGGCAACTACTGGGGTCGCTATGACCCGGTTTCATAAATAGAATTCACGAATAAATGCGCTTCAATTCACGCAAAGCTGCACAAGGCGCAGCGGCGAACAGGCGCGGCATGAACAATAACGCTTCTCCTTGACTGTCGACATCAAACAGCGAAAGGCTTTTTCGAGACGCTCACTTACGCGACGCCACTCAAACTGTGCAGTTTCGAGTCCTCGCTTCATGAGACGGGTCCGGGACACGATGGCCAAACCCTGAGGCGTGCGATGAACCCGACCCCGACACACCACCACACAAATCGCACCCCGGCATACGGACCGAGAGGTGTGTCCAGCACGCCGCTGCCGGCAGCCCGGCGCCTCAGGGCGCCTCAGGGCGCCTCAGGGCGCCTCAGGGCGCCGGGCCCCTCGCCCGGCGGCGGCGGCGCGCCGCGAGGCTCACCTCCACGTAGGAGGGCAGGGTGGCCTCGGTGGGCCGGTCGGTGATCAGGAAGCGCATGCCTTTATACTCGATCTCCGAGGGAGCCGGTCGGATGCTCTTGTTCCTCATATTGCTCATGTCAGTGGAGAGCGGCCGGGAAGAAGCAGGCGGCGTCGTCGTCGCCGTCGTCGTCGACACCAGGGGCGCGACGGGCGCGGCGGCGGCCAGGTGGCAGGCGCTGGCTCCCAGCGCGGCGGCTGTGCGGGCACCGGCTCAAGTCCAGCGGGCGCGCGCGCCCTGACGCGCAACAGCACTGGGCGGGGCTCGGCGGGGCGCGGCCGGGCCCACTCAACCCATGTGGCCGGCCGGACCGGAGGCGCAGAGGCGGGCGGCGCGCGGCGCGAGGCGCGGTCCGGAACACGAGCGGGTCCGCCTGCCGACCGGGCGTCGGGACGGCCGCTGCACGCGCCAGTCTATTTGTGCTGGGAGCGGCAGAACTCACTGCTCCCCTTCAGCAGCTCCATACGGCTGAAGCCTCGCCCGGACTGGTGCTGGAACACAAAAGGGCACGTTCGTCAGGGCTGCCACACGGTAACACAAGGGCATGCTCGTCAGGGCTGCGACACGCCGACATAAGGACATGCTCGTCAGGGCTGCGACACGGCAACATAAGGGCATGCTCGTCAAGGCTGCGACACGGCAACATAAGGGCATGCTCGTCAGGGCTGCGACATGGCAATATGACATGCTCGTCAGGGTTGCGACACGGCAACATAAGGACATGTTCGTCAGGGCTGCGACATGGCAACACGTCCCTGAGCGACCGGTGCTGCAATGACTGGTGACTGTGTTGCCGAGGGAGACGCGCGGGACTGGTTCCACCTCATAACACGACAATGAGCCAGCTGACACACAAGTAACGGCGGGCAGTTAGGCGAAGAAGAGTAGCATGTGTAACGGACGACCTTTCTCGAGTTTGCAGGCATGGTGAAGCTGCTAAATACGTGTCCTGCGCACATATACATCGTTGTAACGGCTTTAACCCAGGCATCACAACGCAACTATCGCCTTCTTCACGTTGGCTAAGCTTCAGGGTTCTGTTCTAGATGGTGGATATGGCAAATCATTCCACCAAATGGCAGCACCCATCCGAGGCACCTAATGCCATTTGCTGCTTTAGTTCAACCTGTCTCTGACTCTGATTCATACATTGCACACCCAGTGGCGTAGCCAGGATTTCGACCAGAAGGGGCCAAATCGGGGCATAAGGAAGGGGGGAGATAAGCCAAGAACTGCGTCGTATTCGGGACCCTGTTTTTTATTGGGAAGAGCTGTTCAAGCTCGGGATCGCATTGCGATGCCATAGAGAGTCCGTTTGTATTATTTAGAAGCCCTGCGGGGTTCTCGACCAGCCAAAGCGTACTGGGGCCTTCCGGCTCCAGGGGCTTCTATCACCTCCACCCGATGCGGGTACGGCGTTGTAAGGCCCCTCGCTACGCCACGTGTATCACCTACGCTGTACTAGTTCCAAAGAATGAGAAGCTGATCACTAAAAGTTAACTAAAATGTAGTCGTCGAAAGAAATGCCTGAGGCGTGAGTTAAACATAGACTGAGAAAACTCCAAACACATACCAAAGCTACAGACACACTTGAAACTAAGCAGGACGGTATCAAGCATCACATACGGTACACACGCCAATGTTCTCAAACAGCATCTGGTTCACTGGTCTTTCCTTGTAAGTTTCAGAGGCGACCACAGCTGTGGCTGAGAATTGGCATCCCGCAGCAAATACAAAACAAACAAAAATACAGAGGCTGCAGACAACCCTGAAACTAAGTAATACGAATTATCGCATATGGCAGAAACGCCAATGCTCTCATGCTGCATTTGCTCCACGGCGCTTTCCTCGTAGGACCACCCCTCTACCCACGAATTGGCTTCTCGCAGCGAATCATAGCCAAACACATGGCTCCCGGACTCACTGCCTCCGGTCTTATTCGACTGATTCCTAAGACATGACATCCAGAAAACGGCGTCGCCTCCTCATGATTCACGACGATATGGTGCGATACGATTAATAACGATAGTATGACTGACGTCGATATGATAACATTTCGGCCACAAAATAATCCGGAGCAACACGGTGCGGGCACAGGCTTTCCTGTTCAAAATTGTATCATAAGGCACGGATTAAGTCGCACACGATTTGAAACTTGATGCATTTTGTAAATGATACAATAGAAGAAAAATACACGGATGAGTTACCGTCATGAAACTGTGCGGCCGATTATCGAAAAATGTGGTCCTTCCGGCGTCGCGGAACATCGCAAAAATAGCACATTTTCTGTTATTCTACATCTGTTAGGACTAACAACAATTATTTCAGATCCTTAATAATTTATTAAGGATCTGAATAATAACCTAATATATAATAAAATCTGAATAATCATTAAGTCAGATCCTTTGCTTCGATCGAGCAAAAAAAGACGCTCTTCTGATAGGCTTCAGCTCTTAAACGTACAACTACCACCCAGTGAAAGACACCTTTGAAACCTCTGATCTGCTTGAGAATGCTAAAGCTAGAAATAGCATCACTTATTTTCCTGCTATCACAAACCTTTTTCCACAAACACGGTGCGATGTTTCTTAAAAAGCACCCGTTTACCAACGACATGGTAACCATCGGTAAACGCTACTACCGTGACATCGTAAACGCTAATGCGCGCGTGCACTTCAGTAACCTACTACGCTTTTAACGACGCACATGTATTCTATCGGTTGTTGATTTATGGGTGACCCTGGGCGTATCTCTTCGAATAGTAGCGGTGACTACAGGCTGCGGATTTCTCTCCAATACCATTTGATGGACAAGAGACGACGTAAAATGCGCCTGACCCAGCTCCCCGCACTGTTTCCGGCGAACAGCCCACCGCGCCCCGATCGCGTCTACCGCTCAAGAGGGGACGAGGCACGAGTCCGGACAAGCAGGTCCAGCGGCCACCCCACAGCGGCGCCCCGGTACCGAGCCAGAGGGCCGGCCCCCGATCACTCGCCTGTCACCAGGGCAGCAGAGCGGCCGCCGCGCCGGCTCCGCAGGCTGGTAGGCGGGCGGTGCCCCGGCGCCAGGGCCGGAGGGACGCCCCACCGACGGCCACCAACCACCCCACTCCCCCGAGCCAGTCAGCGGCCGGCACCGGACGGCCGACGCACGCGACCCGTCACCACAGCGCCGCCGACTGCAGTCAGCCTGCTGGCCGAGCCGGGTCGCAGGGCACCGTGTCAGGGGGCGCGAGGCTGCCGCCGGCAGCCGGAGTGGCGCGGCAGCGGCGGCGCGCGCGCGACCACCGGACAGTGTCGTCCTGCACCGTCCGCGGCCCGGTCGTCACTGACGTCGGACGGGCGCGACGGCGGGGCGGCGCGGCGCGGCGGCGGCGGCGGCGGCGGCCTTCGCTGAGTCAGCGGCACGCTGCCCCCGCCGGCGGGGCGGAACGTAAGGGGGGAGGGGGGAGGGAGGAGCAACCTTCCCGGCCCGGCTCAGCCCTTCCCAGTGCCGGAGCGCCGTCAGGGCCGGCCGCGCCGCCCGCCGTCAACGGAGACGGCCCGGCACACACACACAAAGCATGGACGGCGGTGGGGCACCGGAGACGTCCCAGCAACGGCCAGAAACGGCGCCCGGCCAGCGTGTCATTAACACAAAAAACGTTTTGAGGCGGACGTAAAAACACCCCCACTTGGCCGCACAGCCGTCGGCGGTCGGGAGACCTTGGACGAAAACAGGGCAAGGACCCCTTTGTCAGCTGAGCAGGACGAGCCTTTTGAGCCCAGTCCCGGGTTTAGCTTACTGGTTGCTGGCCAGCCCACTGGTCGGCCCACCATCAAACGTCATTGACCGTGACGTTGATGGTGGGGCCGAGCCATGGAATTGTGCAGTTGGCGGCGCAGGGCCGAACGACATCGCCCAGTAGGTCGGTCGGCACCAGACAACAGCCACCCCAAACCCGGCCGGCAGCCCGGCCAGTCACTTTCGCCTGCCGGCCGGCCGGTCGGCGCAAACAGAGCAGGGCGGCGCGCCCCGAGCCCCTCACAGCCGGCCGCGGCGGCGGCAGGCGTCAGGCCGGGCCGGGCCGGGCCGGGCCGGGCGCCTCCCCTCCGCACGACCGCGGCACGCCGCCGTGCGCCGGGCCTCGCCTCGTGACGGCCCGCACGCCGCGCCCGCGCCCGGTCGATACTCACGCCACGGCGGGATGACCGGTCCCGGGTCGCTCTGCCGAGACCCGCCGCCGACAGAGCGCCGCAACTGGCAGTTCGAGGACTCGCCGTGACGAGGGCGAGGGCGAGCCGCGCCAACCGTCACGGCGAGTAAGGGGGAGGGGTGAGGGGGGGGGGGCTGATTGGGGCTGATGGGGGACCCAGGGCGCGGCGCCTGCCGGCCGTCGCACCCCTCGCTCGATCCGGGCCGGCGCCCAGGCGGGACACGCCGCCGCGCGACTACTCACAATTGCTGCCGTTGTAAGTCTGCTGCCACACAATTTATGAGTGCCGTTCTTCGGTGGGTGGAGAGAGAGAGCGGCTGTCTGCGCGCGTCCACTGCCCACGGTACGTTCGCCAGCTCCGGCCCGTATCGACTTTCTGCGGGCCGCCCGGCGGCGCCCAGCGCCACCAACAGCTTGAGCGCCGGCGCGGCGTGACGTCATGCGATGACGTCACAGCGCGGCGGGTGGCGGCCACAGGCGGGCCGCCGGCCGCCCCCCGCCGTCAATGGGCCGTCCGCGAGGGTCAGATGGACGCAGCCCGTGCAGACGTCTGGGCCGCGGAGGGGAGGGGTGGCGCCCACCGGCTGCCCAGGAGCAACGACCGCGCCTGCAGCAAGGCCACCACCCGGGCCCGGTGCCGCGTCCCCTGGCCGAAATCGCGCCGTTTGCGTGCTCTGGCCAACGCCACTGACGAGTCACAACGGCTTGATTTCGGCCGTCCGGCCTCTCAGGGACGCGGCGCGAGAGCCTGGCCTGGTGTCACCCGTCAATCAGCACGTGCCGCGTTGTGGCAACGCCATCCGGGACCCGCCCGTTGGCCAGTGGCGCCGCCCGCCGCCCGCGGAGCGGCGCAGCACGGGGGCGGACTCGACACCGCACATCGCTCGCCGAACACGCTGAACGGCGTTCAGGGACCGCGGCGCGGCGCCACAGCTGTGCCCGCGTGCCGCCAGCCTGGCCGGAATGCGCTCGCCGACAGTCGAACCCCGCTCCCTCCCTCCC